TGAGGACCAGTTGAAGCTGCTTAAGCTGCCACAGTAACTGGCAGGAAGTTCAGAGAAATGGGAATTGCTGCTGCTTCTGGATTCTTTATCCTTGTTTCCCAAAGTATAAAGTCGTCTTCTACTATTTAGGTCTCGGCAACTAGTTTCTCAGTCCTGCTCTGCATCTTAGATCCTATTCCCTATACATTTTTCTGTCAAATATGTAATTAATTAGCCACATTTATGGAAGACAGGGCTATCAAACATTACTAATCATAATAGAACCTATTTCCAAATCCCATCGTTCTCTTATATTTTTCTCCAGCCATTCTACTCACCCAATTATTCTATGTGACCCATTCCTGTTTCATTTTGTCCCAATTCTGTTTTACTCTCCACTGCCATTTCCCCAAGAAATTATAAACCACCTGTATATTTAATAGTTAGAGGAAATTCTGGGATACAGTTATTTTTTTCACGCACCCATGCTGAAGAGTAGCTACAGCAGAAGAGCCTCTTTTTTCTAGGCCTTTTCTGATTGTTACTTCTTTCTTCATGATCTATCTCCTAGCCTTGCCTATAAGCCACCCCATATTTCATATCTATATTTTTGCTAGTTCCCCAAAATGATCTCTCACGTATAATTTTCTGATGTGGAAGGTCATATTAAAAAATCAAAAGATATAGGGACAAACACATTTATACAAGTGAATACGAAGCCTACCCACTATTTTAAAGCATTTGTTACCAATAGAAGAGAATATATGTAGCTCAGAGTTGAACTGTGGAGTTCTCTGAGCTTGGTTGTTCTCTTGCAAATGTTTCGTTACCCGGCTAGGTAACATCTTCAGTGCTGAAACCGTTATCTAGCCAGGTAACAAAACATTTGCAAGAAAACAACCAAGCTCAGAGAGCCCCAAGGACTCCACATAAAACATTTGTTATCAGAGATGAAAGCACCCAGTTTTTGTAATGAAGAGAGCCAGTCTGGTGGTGTGGTTAAGATGCAGGATTAGAAAATAGGAAGCTCTGAGTTCTAGTCCTCCCTTAGGTATGCAAGCCATTTGGGTGACTTTGGGCCAGGCACTCTCACTCCAGCCCACCTCCCAGGTTTGTTGTGGGAAAATAGGAAGAGGGAGTATTACATACACTATTTTTGAGTTGTACCAAAAAAAAAAAGTGGGATATAAATCTAATTAACAATGAAGGGCATCTAGGTCCTGCATAAATCAGAGAAACAGGTTTGTCTTTTCATTTATTTTTAGAAAATGTCACTGGTATCTATACTTTGCATATTTATGTGTAGAATGGAAAAAGAAGAGTAGAACAGCTAATATAGAAAAGTTGAAGTTTCCCATCATACCACAGACAGACAATTCTCCCCATTTCTCTCACATTTGTCTTAAAAATTTTTTTTATAGGATATTAGATTTTTCTCATGCCACTTAAAGTATGTCAAATTTTCTTCCAACTTAAATATAAAGGCAATTTGAGAAGCAGTAATGAAGGAGAGCAATTAACTGAGAAGAATTTGGAATAGCACCTATGTGGGAAATTAATTAAGAGTAAATTAATTGAAAATGAATTACTCCATTGAGCTAAAAGATGCAGTGCAAATTATTTTAAGAATTTGCTGTGACTAGACGGAGTAATTAATTGGCTTGCCTTTTGTAAAATTTACTTCCATTAATTTTGAAATTAGCTTATTAGTCAGCTTCTAGCTGTATGACAAAATGATAAAATACTTAATTATTGGAGCTTTATGCAGATATCTTTTAAGTATCCTTCAACAGTGGGTTGTTTAAAAGTTAAACTTTCTGAAAAATGGTTAGTTCAGGAAAGTGCTGAAATAATGTAATAGAGTGATTGCTTGGACAACTTCCATAATTATGGTAGGATTCTGCTGTCAATGAGAAATTCTCCCCAAACATAATTTTCATATCTAGCTTTATTTTGACAATTCAAAACCCTATATACCAGAGTTCTAGAACTGCATCAACAAAGATAGCTCTGTAATGGTTGAAATACTCTTGGAATAATTATTTTTGTCTCTGCTCTATTACCACCTACTGTATGCCCATCTTGTCTAACCCAGTATAGATCTATGCAACTGAAAACCACAGATATTTCAGATATAATAATGTCCATCCACCTACTTCTACATTTTAAGCTTAAGTCATTTATCATGTTCCAGTCTATCACATGATTTTTAGCAACCTTACACAGATGGCTTCTTCACTGGCTCATTCCTTACAGTGGGGATTGAAAGAATTCAGTCATGAAGTTAGAGATTAGAAATGAATGCTTTGTTTTAAAATCTTGGACAGATTTTATAAGAGGCATACCTATACAACTACTTTCCATGTCTACAGAACAATGATGATTGCCTTCCAAGAATGGGAGGATATATAGTACTGTTCAAAGGTTTTAGGCAGGTGTGAAAAAATGCTGAAGTAAGAATGCTTTCAAATATATATATATTGTAATTATGTTTATCAATTTACAAAATGCAAAGTGAGCGAACAGAAGAAAATCCCAAATATTTGGTGCGACTACCCTTTGGCTTCAAACCAGCATCAATTCTTACACTTGCACACTTTGTACCCTTGCAAAAAGTCAGGGATCTTGTAAGATTAGAGTCAGGTGTATGATTAACCAATTATACCAAGCAGG